CGTGTTACCTGAGAGCTTGGAGAGGGGAGAAACCCCTGCCTGGGCTGTCCCCAGTGCGGGATCCCAGCGTTCCCGCAGCGGAGGAGAGCGGGGAGCGAGGTGTTGCTCAGGAAGTGCTGGCACCGAGGGTCCTGCTGGGCTCTGGGACCCAGGGAGGTCCTCGCTGATGCACCCCCTTTGCTGCGTCTGTCTCAAAGTCGCCATCACGGGCCCCGCACAGCTTAGCGCAGCTCGGGGGAGCAAGAGGAGCACCCCCAAAGCAGAAATTCCCCACTTTTTTAGGCTAATTTAAAAAATGGCTCTATCTTCCAGAGATCATCTAGCAGCAGCACTTAGGCACAGCACCATCTCCTGGTCTTTCTGTTCCCCCCACAGAGGATTTTAATGTCATTCCACTGTAAATGCTGTTGAATGTATTTCTTTTTGAACAATATATTGTGAGTGATCCCTCTTCTACGACACGGTAATAAAACTTGGATTCGGGAGTTTTAAAAGCCGCAGTGCTGAGGTTGTCACTCGCTCCTCAAGGCTGCAGGTGGGGGTACCCGAGGAGCCCCAAGGTGGGTGAGCTTTGGGCCTGGGGATGCGGTGGGTGGCAGGTGAGGTGGCCAGGGAAGGGACCATGGGAGGTGGCTCAGAGGACAAGGAGACCAAGGGGAGGAGATGGGGAGATGGCCTAGGGAGGGTTGGCCAAAGGAGGAGGACGTCCAGGGGAGGAGGACTATGGGAGGTGCCCCAGAGCACAGGGAGCTCCAGGGAAGGGGTTGCTGAGCGAAGGAGCAGGGCCATGGGGAGGTTGCCCGAAGGAGGAGATGATTCAGGGAAGGCGGCGCGGGAGGGGGAGAGATGGCCAAGGCAGGAGTTGGCCAAGGGAAGGATGTCCAGGGGAGAAAGTCCAGGAAAGGTGGCCCAGAGGTACATGTACCCATGGAAGGAGGTTCACTGGGGAGGAGGAGGAGCAGGGAGGGCATTGCCCAGGTAGAGAGGAGGGCCAGGGGAGGACATGGTCTGAGGAGGAGATGTGCTGCTGGAGGCTGGCTGAGGGAGAAGATGGTTGCCCAGGGAAGGAGGAGGTGGCCCAAGAGAAGGTGCCCAAGGAAGGAGTTTCTCTGGGGATGGTGGGAAGGAGATGGCCCAGGGGACGTCGTCTGGGGCAGGGAGTGGCCAAGAGTAGGTGGCCCAGGGGAGGTGGAGGGGGCTGCAGGCAGGGGCTGTGGAGATGGGAGGGGGAATCCTAGGGCAGGCAGAGACTGGCCAGCGTCCAGACAGGCACACGCAGCCCTGCCCGTCCTGCCCGCTGCCCTGCCCAGTACTGCCTCCCCATCCCAGCTTGGCCAGGTGAGCACGGTTGGGGCTGAGCTGGGGGGACCCCAGAACTGGGACCCCCTCAGCAGTGGGGAGGAGCCCCGCTGCCCGCTCTGGGTGCAGGCACTGGGCACTGGGCACGAGCCACCAGGGCTGAGGGCCTGGCAGCTCCCGGGCGCAGCAAGCACTGCTGGCATCTTGACTTCAACGGAAAGCAAACCTCCATGCCCTGCAGAGCCTGGACATCTGCCCGTCCTGCCGTGGTGCAGCCCTCAGCCTGGCACCAAAGCTCCGGGAGCTGGGTTCTCGGCACGTTCACTCTGAAGCCTGATGTGTTCACGGGGGCTTCTAGAGCGTGTTATCCTCACCTCTCCTGGTGTCGTGGGCTCTGGCGGTGCTGCAGGCGTGGAGCTGGAGGAGGCTGTCCTCAAAGCACGGCAAGTGCTCTGGGAGCAGAGCTGTCCCCTGGGAAATGTCAGAGGGGCTTCTGCAAAGATGCAAAAGGGCGGTTTGGGACCAGGACTCTCCCACCAGGCGGTGGCTTCCCTTTTTTCATGACCGAAGAGCTGGCAGAATTGCCGGCCTTCACCCTGCTGCTCCGGGAAGCCTTGGTCCTGTGCCCACCACCACAGTGTGCTGTCGTGGTGAGGCCTGGGGGCATCGGTCAGTGTCAAAACCTAGTTTAAAAAAGAAAAAAGGATGACATAATCTATAAGTAAACTTACCAAGTTTGTGGATGACAGCGAGTGGGGTGGTGCAGTTGACACCCTGGAGGGATGGGATCCATCCAGAGGGACCTGGACAGGCTGGAGAGGTGGGCCCATGCCAACCTCATGAAGTTCAACAAGGTGCAAGGTCCTGCACCTGGGTCGGGGCAATCCCAGGCACAAATCCAGGCTGAGTGGAGAATGGCTCAGAGCAGCCCTGAGGAGAAGGACTTGGGGGTGTTGGTCAATGAAAAACTCAACATGAGCCGGCAGTGTGCGCTTGCAGCCCAGAAGGCCAAACACATCCTGGGCTGCATCAAAACCCATAAATAATAAAACTATTCTAGGATTCTAAAATAACCTTGCACTTTCAATGAATCTTAAAGTACTGCTAAATCATAGCCATGTGAACACCTTATCCATGATGCTTGCCCTCCCTGGGAAAAAAATGTGCATTAAGGGACCTTATCCTGCATCCTGCTGCTAGCTACAGGAACGGAGAAAAATGCGTTAGCAATATCGATCATGGCATACCATGTAGCTGCCTTGGACTCCAGGTCATATTGAAGTTCCAGCATGTCTGGCACAGCAGCACTCAGGGGTGGTGTCACTTCATTCACACCATGATAGTCCACTGTTAATGTCCCTTCTCCATCAGACTTCCTCACTGGCCATATAGGACTGTATTATAACTGGGGAGTCATTCCCAGTTAGGCTCACTTCAGCATCCAACACAGTCAACCTTTGAGACCCTCCCGTCACTCCCAAGATGGTAATGGACTCTGTTCCTCTATGATATGATGGCATTAGAGTGCATTGTGCACCAGTGTCCACCAGGGCTCTGTACTTCTCAGGTTTGGATGTGCCAGGCCATCGAATCCACACCCTCCAGTAAACTCGATTATCCCTTTCCTCCACCTGGCTGGAGGAAGGGCCCCTCTAATGATCCTGGTTGACGGGAGCAGCCATTCTCCTAGGTTGGTTCTCTCTGGCAGTGTCCTTTTCAGCTCCTGTGGCGTGCAAAATGGCAGTGGGTTTGCCGTGCCACCTATCCATATTCTTGCCATAGTCGATCAGGATGTACCACAGAGAACTTCGTGTGGGGTTCTCCCTGCCTTGAGCCGATCTTCTGGGAAAACGTCTGTTCCTAATGGATGAAAGATGGATCCATTCAGAAGAACGGGTATCACTTCCTCTCTCTGTGGGAAGCAGCTTATCAGTCAGCTTGTCAAAATGGGTTTTGATGACAGTTTTGAAGTCCTCAAGTGTCTTTTCCACAGCTGCAATGTGGAAGTGAATGTTGTGAACAACAGTGTCTTCAGATTGCCTGAGCTGAGTAGCAAACTCGGCCAGAGCTGGTGGTGTTTCATCTTCTCCCCAAAAGAGCCTTCTTGCCGAAGTGTTGGAATACCCGGGAGGGGCACTCTGTATAAACTTCTTCAGCAGAGAACCTTGGCATGGTACTTGACCAGGATCTGTGACTGTTTGCTCATCACAGCTTACCTGCTGGAGTGCCAGCCCTCTCACATAAATATCTGATGCCATGCTCTATGGTGTTCCATTTAGTAGAACTCTATTCTGTATCCTCTTGACGAGGATATCTTCTCTTTAGACCTGTTCAGAGACATTCCCAAAGACTGTTGGTGCAGATGTCATTCCAAATGAACCTATCAATGCCCTGCTCCTTGGCTAATGCTCCCGATCGCTTAGCTTGTCTCCCATCCAGATCTATTGTATCTGCTCTGGTGCGCAACAGCCATGTCATCAGGGATTCGCCATCTGCCCGGACAGCGGTCTGCTTCCCTGGAGCACTTCTGGTGGGTGGTGACTGGGGCCAACTGGGCCACATTGCCCATGTCCCAGCTGGTGGCTGCCACTCCTGCCAGCACCAAAACAGCGGCCACCAGAGCCACCGGGGCCAGGATGGGGGCCTGGGCCAGGGTCAGGCGCCGAGGCTGGATTCTGAGCCAGGCTGGAGCTGGAGCCGGGGTGGCTAGAGCGGCTGTTAAAGTGACATTACTGTCATGCAAAGAGAGCTGAGCACACCACAGCCTTACAATTAGCTCCATTTGAACGGCAATGAAGAACCACAAAACGTCATTACAGCCCTTTCTGATTTCTCCACACCCCTGCATGGCAAGATTGCCAGGCAAAGGAGCTGAATCATTTTTCATAAGCATATTCATGAGGTAGTGGCTGAAGTATCCAAGTAAAGCCTTCACCCAACTCATCCCAGCATAAATCCAAAACCTATGGCAATAGAACATAGAGACAGGGCAAGTCAGCATGGCATACATCAGGGCAGCACAAAAAGCACTCAAAACCATTCTGTATCAGGCCTTGCAGAAGCACCATTGTGAGAGGCATTTTAGTCTTCCAACTTGTCCCGTCAAAAAAAAAAATTCCAAACTCGAGCCCCACGTTGGGCGCCAATTAATCCTGTCTCCGATTAGGGCTCAAGGTAAACCTAAATGAAACAAGGAGTAGGATTTTCTCACTATTGTCCCCGACCATTCCAGGGGAGAAGAAAAAATAAAAGGGAATAGAGAAGAGATGCTACACACAAGGTTGGAAGTTAAGACTCTAACAAGTTTAATGAAAAACAATTGGGGAAAGGAAAAAAGGGAATTAATAAGACATAAAAGATATTTAACTATGGGCAAAACCCAATCCCAGTAGTCCCGAGTGGAAGTGTCCCAGCAGTGCCTTGTGGCTGCTGTGACTCGTCACCAGGGACCGCAGTGGTGCTGGGAGTGGATGGGGATGGATGTCACTGAGCACGTGGAGGTAGCCCCAGCCATCCTGGGATGTGACAAGAAACAGCCCATCAAGCCAGGAAAAGCCCACGAAACCTCAGGCCTCCTCATTTTTTTAGACTGTGGCCGGAAAGGGGAAAGAACAGTACCGATCTCTGACCCGCCAGGGTCCTGCAGACACCACCTGTCCTGCCCTTTCAGGCTGTGACCCTTAAAGCATAACACCTGCAAAATGGATGGAGCCTGGGTGGGCACCTGGAGGCCTCACAGCCCATGAGGGCCTGTCATAGCCCAGTTCACCTGCCTGGGACCCAAGTACTCGCTCCCTGGGACAACCGGTAAAACCACCAGCACAAGGGAGGCGCGACACATCCCCTAGCTCCAGGGACAAGCAGCCACAGCTCCATTTCCCACTGCTCCAAGCCTCCATGCTCGCAGCTGCAGCAAGGCCACAGGGCTGCCAGAGAAAGGCTCAGGCTGCTCTTGGCAAAGCCCCGGAAAAGAGCGGCCTGACTCTGCCGAGCACAGAGCAGGCCTTGGGGGCCCAGAAGAGAAAACACAGCAGTGGCCATCTTCATCTTGGCTTTAAGTTCACTCAGCAACCGCCTGGGGCTTTAACAGACAATCAACGCATTTCACGACGATCGACGTGTTTTGGTGATATTCCAATTAATTGCACAGTGCCTAAACTGCTCCTGCTGGAAGTCCCTGTACAAGTGCATTGGCCTGCCGGTAGCACTCTTGGAGGAAAACAGCACACAGGAAGGGAAATTCTTGAGGCCAGCAACTCCAGCTCCTCCACTTAGGAACCAGCTTTCTGTACGCGCTTGCAGGCAGGTGTCCTTTCACGCGCTTTTCTTCCTTTTCTCACAGCCCCGCCAAAACCAAAGCCCCCGCACACACATTTTGAGGGGCCAAACCTCCCGTCCCAGAAAACTGCTCTCTGGGTCCTCGCTACTACATCCTGCCCTCCATCTCCGGGAATGGGAAGTACCAGGCTCCAGCGCAGCCCATCCGCAGCCTTCTCAAGATCAAGATCGAGGTCACCCCAGGACCAAGTGAATTCCCTTTCTCCAGCCCTTCTTCCAGGCAGCACAAACACACTTTCCTTTTGGCCTGTGCTCCTGGCTACAAAACCACCAGCTCATGCCCTGAAGGAACTCCAGAGGTTTCCAGACCCAAAGCAGAAAAGGCCAAGCACCTCCTCCTGACCTTTCCTCTCGGGCTTGAGGAGAGGAGCCTGGCTTCACTGCTCTCCTCCACTTCTCCTCTGCCCTAGGCGACTACTTCACCGACCGGGCCAGCAAGCACCTCTACAAATGTGCACCGGTGCAGTCCATGGCCTTCCAGCACAAGGACGCCCAAACCGGCCAGACCCCAGGTGAGGGAACTTGGGGAAAGACGCACACTTGCAGCCTGCGTGCCCTCAGGGAACATCTGCTGGGCAGCCTTTGCAACAGGGAAAAGCCTACGCAGCAGGAAAATCCTGCCTGGTGGCCCAGAGCACCAGCTCTTCTCGTGGCCTGCAGGAACCAGCAGCTGGGCCTTGGAGCTGCAGACACATGCTGTGTGCCACACAAGACGGAGGCTTTGGCAGGAGGGGCAAGACATCCTTCCAGCTCCTCGCAGCAGGCTTGGCAGGCTGCTTGGAGGAGCAGCTCCCACCCAGGAGCTGCTCCTCTCCCCGCAGGACTCACACGCACTCTCTTCCCATTCCCCTTCCTGGTCCTGCCACCTACACCCTGCCTAGGCTGGTGGGACCCAACACAGCCTACACCCAGGCCAGCCCGTGCTACTCCATCAGGGGGAAGAGCAAGCACAGCGGCTTTGCTGAAGACCTCGCCAAGGTGAGCTAAGCTCCTCTGCGCTCTCGCAGCAGCAGCAGCAGCTCAGCTGCTCTTCTCAGGCCCTCAGAAGAACCAACACTTGCCCTTTGTACCCAGCAACCTCCCTGCCTCTCTTACAGACGCCAGGTCCTGCTGCCATCCCCAGGGTGCCGCTGGACGTCTACAAAAGCAGGACTCCCAGGTTCACCATGGGAACCAAAAGTAGCCTTGCAGGCGACAGAACTGTGAAGCCGCGGCCAGCAGACTACTGTGTAGGAAAGGTAATGCAGCCTGCCCGCCTCTCCTCCTCTGCTTTGCAACAACCAGCCCTTAAGCATCTCCCCTTCTGATGGGAGTTCTGACAACTCAAGACCACTCATCTGCTGGAGTGACTACGGGACTGCTCCCTTGCCTCGGCCCAAAGCCCAGCAGAGGGAGGCCAGAGAACACATCTTTGCCTGTCCACTAGCCCAGCCATTCAATGCTGATCTGCGCTCGCACACCACAAACTCTTCAGGAGGACACAGTGCTGCAGGAGGGACAAGAAGACCCAAGAGCGGACCCTTCTCATGCTTGTTATGCCCAATGACCTTCACTGAAGAGAAGGCTTCTGGAGAACAGGGCACCAAGCTCATCTTGCCTTCTTCTCACTTTTCTATGAGGGTTTTGTGCCCTCATAGTTTTAGTACCAAAACCTAAGGCTTTGTACCCTAGAAATGGCTCTGCGGTGACTCCGAATGAGGCACTGGACATGAAAAAACCCGAGGCTTTGTACCCTAAATGAGGAGTATGGACCCTAAAATGAGGGTTTGTTCTCTGAAAAGGAGGCTTTGGAAGCTAAAAATGAAGGCTGGGGACCCTATGCATAAAGCTTTGGATTCTAAAACTCAATCTTTGGACCTTTTGGGCCATAAAAATGATACTCTGCATTGTTCAAATGAGACTTTTAACCTTAAAAGCAGGGGCTGGGACTTCCAAATGAGAGTGTGTACCCTAAAAAGGAGGCTCTGGGACCAAACCAGAGGTTTTCAACCCTGGAATCTAGGCTTTGGACTCTAAAAATGAGTCTTTGGGGCCTTAAAGAGGGGCTAGGAGCATAAAAATGAGGGTTTGGGTACTCCAGATGCAGCTTGGACCCTAATAACAAGATGATAGATGATAAAAATGATGCTTTGGATGCTGAAAATAAGGCTTTGGACACCCAGGGTGCAGATTTGGAGTCTAAAATTGAGACTTTTGCAACTATAACTGAGCCCTTGGAGCATAAAACTGAGGCTTTGAAGCCTAAAATGAAGCTTTGGAAGCCAAAACTAATACATTGGAAAGAAAAAAATGAGGCTTTGGACACAATAAATGTAGTTTTTGAGCCTACAACAAAGCTTTCTACCCAAAACATGAGGTTTTGGACTCTCCAGATGAAAGTGTGGGCCCTAAGAAAAGGCTATGGGTAATGAAAGACTGGGCTGGACCCTAAAAATGAGGATTTCAGCCCTAGAAATGGAGCTTTGGGACCTAAGAATAGGTATTCCACCCAAGAATCACAGCTTTGAACCCTAAAAATGAGGCTGTGGGAAAAAAGTGCCACCCTCTTCCCTCTCTTGGCCTTGTCAGGGACTCACAGTTGAAGATGACAGTCCTCTTTCAGGGCCAGGCGCTGGCAGCAGTGGCAGGGAGAGGGATGCAGAGGTGGCGCCAGGCAGAACGGGAGGAAGATCAGGAGGAGGAGAAATGAGAGGAGGAAGAGGAGGAGGAAGAGCAGGAGAACAATGATGAAGAGCCAGAGGAGGAAAAGGAGGAGGAAGAGCAGGGAAAAAGAAGAGGAGGAAGAAGAGAAGGAGGAGGGGAAAACACTTCCAAAGTCACTCTAGTGTCAGCACATCAAAATTCTTGGATGGAGAAACTGCTCCTTATGGTTGCCCATGGCGATTCACTGAATCCAAGCCTACTGGTGAAGTCATTACTCACAGGAGTCATTCAACATCATGGCCATCACTCCTCTCAGGATCAGAGAGGAAAGCTCTGGATGGCACAGGCTGTCAGGATGTGCTCCAGAAACAGAAGAAATTATTGTTGAGCATGAAACAAACATAACAGCATCCGTCATCACAACTCTTCCAGGGGTAGTTTTAACTGTTGCAGAGCTTCAGGCTGAGGACTTCACCATCACTGTCATAGGAGCCCAAAAGAAAGAGTAACTGGCAAAGAGTGTCTCTGTCATGGCCATGTCTGTCTAGCCTTCAAAGGTAGAATAGCTCAGCCTACAGCTCTGGAGGTATAGACCAGCCTATACTTGTGTCCTGTGTGTGTCTATGTACTCGATGATCTGTCCAAAACGTCAAATCATGATCACCTTTGAGAGAGGATGGAACTAGGGGGGAGGAGAAAGGAAGACACTGGTAGAAAAAAAGCAAAAGTGTAGGCACGCAATTAGAAAAGGAGGAGCCAAGTTATCCCAAAAGACAGCTCAGCCCAACTCGATTTTGAAACACAAACAACAACAACTTGCCCACAGTG